ATTCTTCCCTTTATTCTCGCCACAACACACCACGTCATTGTTATAAATAGCACACCAAAAATAACACGGTGATGTGGCATCCGGTATTCCCGATTATTGGACAAAATACAGGCTGCTGTACCTACACAATAATGATTGCCTCTATAAAAGGGGAGACACCATCTTACAGTTCACTCGTTAAATACACATGCCAAAGAAGGGAGGAAAGAAGGGAGCTGCTGCTGCACCAAAGGAAGCCGCACCAAAGGCTGCTGCTACTGAAAAGAAAGAGGAGAAGAAATAAATCCACTTTGTGAATTAATTCAGTCTTTGTGACTTATCGTTTTATAATTTGTCGTATCAATTGACATATTTAATATTTCTGATAATATTGGTCTTTTTCTATTTAATTAACCATAAAGAATGACTTAGCTAGAAATTTCTTAAAACTGAGATAACAAATTATAAAAATTCTTTGAAGATGATGACTTGAGAAAGACTCAAATTATCATCTGTTATCATCTTATTATCATCATAAGTGACAGCGGGAATAATAGTGAAGACTCTTTCGACTTGAAACGAGCGTACATTGAGGCAAAACACATTTCTCGGAATGTGAACTCCATGAAAGCACTTGCAGAGGAAGGAACAAAGTTTTTGACAGTGCGTGAGGCGATCATCGGAGATTTCAGCAACGACATGACTGGTGCGAGAAAGTTCTTATGCTCAGGGCCTTTGTTTATTGTTGAGAAAGTGATGGAACCACCAAAGAAATGGATGTACTTCTTTTTGTTCAATGACAGACTTGTAGAGACAATACCTGAGTTGTATGAAGGGAAACCAGTGAAAGATATGTTAGACGCTTTTTCTAAATTACGTGTCATCAAACAAGTCGATGAATTAAAAAGTTGGAAGTTCCGTATTACCAAGGAGTTTGTATTCAATTTGGACGTTGAGTTGGTGAACGTGCAACAGGAAGAGACGGTGTGCAAACATCAAATCGTAATCAAATCCTCACAAATACCTTACAGATTTTCATCTTCAACGCTGTTGGAGTGCGACGTGTGGATTTCACTAATATTTGACCAACTCGAAAAGATCAGGAAAAACGAGAAGGCAAAACTCAAAAGAAGAAACGCAGTCAATCTCGAGAGCGAAAGAAAAATATTTAAAGAAACGTTGGGCAGCTTCGACTTGGCAAATCCACCTCCTTTGCCAAAGAAGCCAAGAGCTTTGGATAGTAAGTGATTTTTTTGTATTCATTATTATATCGTTCAATTCTATTTAAATTATTATAATTAAATTATAATATATAATTAAATTATTAAAAGAATTAAACAAACAATGTTTTAGTTAATGACAACGTTTATTGGATGGTGACAGTGATCTCGTCATCCTTTGCACCGACCACAATCTTTTTGTTTTCTTTCAAGTCGCCCTTGATGATAGCAACTGAGATGTCTGTGACTATCTTCTTCTCGAGGTATCTTCTCATTGGTCTTGCTCCATACTGTGGCGAGAAGCCGACCGTGATGATCTGATCAACTGCCTTCTCTGTCAACTCGACGTCGCATGTTGGGTAGCTCTTTTTGATTCTTGCGACAATGTCTTTCATCTGCATTTTCACGATCTTTCGCAACTCTTCTTGTCTCAATGGTGTGAAGACTACTATGTCGTCAAGTCTGTTGATGAACTCGGGCTTGAAGAACTTCTTGACGTTGTCGAGCACAGCTTCTTTCACACCACTTTTGAGGTTCCCATCCTTTGTTGTGCCGTTGAGGAGAATGTCGCTGCCGAGATTTGATGTCATGATGATGACTGTGTTCTTGAAGTCAACTGTTCTTCCTCTTCCATCTGTGAGACGCCCGTCATCAAGCACCTGCAGCAACACATTAAACACTTGCTGGTGCGCCCTTTTTCGACTTCATCGAACAGAACAACGCTGTA